TAGAGAATAAGAAGATGACACTTATTTCTGTATAATGAGTCTAATTACATCCAGAATATACAATCAGGTAGTAACATCAAGTGTTCCCAGATTAATGTAGACATTGATTTAAATTAGAAACACAGTACCACAGTGCTCTAATATCAGAAAAATCATTACTTACAGTTTGTGAAACTGACAAGAGCAAATGCCAATCAAGTAAATAGCCTGTATTTAGATAACCTAGGTAATAGTTCAGTGGGGAGTTGCCCAGACTGGTCTCGAATTCCTTGCTCAAGCCATTCACCCACATCAGCCTCCCAAAGTGCTGGAATTACAGATGTGAGTCACCGGGCATGGCCACACCCTGAGTTTTAAAATCTAAGTCTTGAAAATCCTCCTAGTGTTGTTAGTTATAAGTAAGCTCTATTTAGTAACAGAAACATTTTGCCAAACAAAATTGTGTAATGCATTCTAAATGTAAAGAATTTTACAAATCGTTCTTTTGATTTATCAATAACACTAAATATCTCTGCCCTTATGTATAATGATTTAAAAGAATTAAAAGTTGGAGAGGATGCTGGAAAAACTGAGGACCATTTATTTCATGGTCTACTACTGAAAACAGAAAGGCTCCCTTGTCCCCCTCACAGGGTGTGTGACGGGAGAGTGGCTCCCTTCTTCAGTACCCAGCTGCTCAAACCTCTAAGGGAGCATACAGATGGGCAGGCTGTGGGCTCTGACCCTGCAGCAATGTCTAGGGGTGAATGTTTACAGCTGAAGCCCCAGTGCATCTGTATTACAGGGGGCTCTTTTAGTTTACCCTCTGTAGGTGGCTTGTGTTAGCCAGGTCAGTTAGAGCCCTGCCTTATGGCAAGGACAGAGGGCTGTCTGTATCCTGGGTTCTTGCCTTGCTGTACTGGAAGAATGGGATCACACGTGAGCTTGGAGAATTAGTACAAAGTATATTGAGTGGAAGTAGCTCTCAGCAGATGGGGTAGCCAGAAGGGAGATGGTTTTCTCCTGGAGTCAGGTCTGTGGGTGGCCTGCCTCTTCACTGACCACCCTGGCCAAACTCCACATCCTTCCACGGGTCAATGGCCTGCCAGCATGCCGCTGTGCTCCTGTGCCAATGCATTCCTCTCAACATCCAGCCGCTTGGGTATTCCTCTGCTGATGTGCTCCTCTCAACGTTCGGCTGCCTGTGTGTCTGCCTGCTACGGTCTTGGGGTTTTAATAGGCACAGGATGGGGGCATTGCAGGCCAGGGTTGTCTTGGGAAATGTAACATTTGGGCTGGAAAACAAAAATCCCTGTCTTCACCTAAGTTGAGCCCCACGGTGGAGCCCTAGCCGGGAACCATGCCCTCCTCTACCCAGCATATCGCTTCTCCCTTCCGTATCATTTAAAGGGACCATGCCCTTTCCTTCCCTTCCCAGCACATTCCTTCCCCATCACTACCTGCGAACAGGTGTCCCTTTTCATTTACATTTACCTCAAGATAAAGGCAAAGGATCTAATTACATTTAGGCCCAATTGAACACCTAAGTGAGAGTAACAGAAGGTTACTTCTAGGACTAAAATGAAAATTATTCTTCAAGTGTTAGTCAAAGGAAAATTAGTCCAGAAGGAACCCAAATATCCAGGCAAATTTAACTTATTTAAGAAATAGCTACAGAAATGACAATTAGTTTGGACAAACTGGACAGTGGACCCAGTGGGTATTTTAGTAGCCATTAAGAAGACACTGAATAGGGTAGATTCTTTAGGGATTGCGTATTAATTATTTAAATACAAACATCTGGCCAGGTGCTGTGGCTCACACCCGTAATCCCAGCATTTTGGGAGGTCAAGGCAGCTGGAGCACCTCAGGTCAGGAGTTCAAGACCAACCTGGTGAAAATGGTAAAACCTGTCTCTACTAAAAACATAAAAATTAGCCAGGCTTGGTGGGAGGCAGTCCCAGCTACTCAGGAGGCTGAGGCAGGAGAATCCCTTGAACCTGGGAGGTGGAAGTTGCAGTAAGCCAAGATCACACCACTAAACTCCAGCCTGGGTGACACAGCAAGACTCGTCTCAAAATAAATAAATACATACATATATACACACATACAAATATCCATGGAAAAGTTAATATATTGAGACCTTCTATCAGATAGTCCCACTATAGTATAATTCAGCTGTTTCTTTAATAGAAATTTTTATTTAAGAAGAAAGAATTCTGGAGGAATAAAGATAGTAGGAGGTAACAGAGCAGGCTCTTTCAACCAAAAGAAACACAAATACCTTAAAAGTAGGAAGATGCTAGAGAGATCAGTGGGTGCTGAGACCAATTTTCCATGTATTGTATGTTACAATTTTTGCTAAAGGCATGTCCTAGTTCCTTAAGGCTGCATAAAAATACTCAACCCAAGTGCTAAGGAAAACTTATTCAGAGGACAATGTATGTTTTTCTTGCTTTCTTACCCTGTTATCACCAAGTTTCCAATTTCACTTGATTGGGTTATGCTGATTACTCTAGCAGAGATGAATTGTTCCTCTTCCAAACCCCATGGAAGGAACTTATAAAATTTCTCTTTAAACTGTACCTTTTAAATAGCACTTCCCCAACTTGGGAATAACTATACTTCTGGGCTATCTTATGTCTTTAAATTATGTATTTAATTTCCTAGCAATAGTAAGAGCCTTGAAGGTTTTGTAAGCCTCACAACTCCTGCCTAGTTCATATTTTTTAAGTTGCATAGATTTATAGATGATTTAAAAAATTGGTTATGTGTCGTGCCTTGGCAACATGAGCAGGCATTCCAGACTCCCACAGGGATTACTAGTTCATGCCTGCACATTTGCCCATCAACAAAACTGAACAGCCTCCACCAGGCACATAAAGTCCCCATTCCTCCTTTTATCCATTTGTTTGGCACTTAATAGTGCCAGGCAGGAAGGTAAAAATACATTCAAAAAAGAATGGAGGTAGCCTTCTTGCCCTGGAGGTGCAGGAAGGTGCATCAGTCTGCTAGGCAGAGGGTACACAGGCTGTTTCTCTTTTTCTTCCAGCTCAGGGATTTATAATGAGAGGAAGCGCTACAAAAAGCTGTGGTGCGAAAATGACGGAAGCTATGGATGGAAAGAAAATCTAAAACTAATGCGGTACTAAGCAAACACACTTCACCCAGACTCAGTAACTACTGCAGAGCTCCGAGGCCTGGGATCCCCAAGAATATACTGAGTTTCACAAACTTTTCAACTTCAACTTTAAATTCAAAAGACTGTAAAAACCAAATATATATCACACAGCAATCAGCTCAAGTTCCTGGGGTCCCGCAACCTAGAGTTGAATAATTTTGTATTAACTTCTCAATATCAAGCTAAATCTATGTTAACAACAGGAAAAGCCACACTTTGTTTGGCTATTTTAAAAATCTGCACAGCACTTAGGAAGAAGCACCTTAGAGCAGGGAACAGCTCAGCACCAGCAAGACACAACTCCTCCGCGGGCCTTGGGACGCCACGCCTCGCGAGAGTTGAGGGAGGCGTGGGCGCGTCCCCGAGGAAGTGGGCGTGGCCGCCAGGCGGGCGGGACACTGGGAATTACGAGTTCCGGGATCGCTGGCAGCTGGGACCTTTCTCGCGCTGGTGCCCTCAGCGCTCAGCGATGGCGGGGAAGTCGACTTTGCTTCAGCTTCTCGCGCCGCTTCTGCTCGGTCAGGCCGTAGTGCGCGGCGCCAGCCCTCTGCCCCTGGTCCTCAACACTTGGTCTTTTAAGAGTGCAACCGAAGCAGGTGCGGGTTGGCGGCCTGGCGGGTGGCTGCGCCGCGAGAGCTTGCGGGTGGGGAGGACCAGCCGGCCGCCCTGCGGTCACTGGGCGGGGAGGGCGGGCGAGCGCCGGGCTGGGCGGGACCCGGAGTCTTCCTGCATCTCCCGCGCCGCGCAGTCCCTTGCCAGTGGCCTTTACTGCGTCCTCCCTACCCACCACGGCTGCATTTTCCATCCTCCCGTTATGCAGCCCCAGCGCAATGTCTCCACCCTGCTGCTGACCATAGTTAGGGCATTGGTGCTTTCTTTTTTTTTTTTTTTTTTTTTTGAGACGGAGTTTCGCTCTTGTTACCCAGGCTGGAGTGCAATGACGCGATCTCGGCTCACCGCAACCTCCGCCTCCCGGGTTCAGGCAATTCTCCTGCCTCAGCCTCCTGAGTAGCTGGGATTACAGGCACGCGCCACCATGCCCAGCTAATTTTTTGTATTTTTAGTAGAGACGGGGTTTCACCATGTTGACCAGGATGGTCTCGATCTCTTGACCTCGTGATCCACCCGCCTCGGCCTCCCAAAGTGCTGGGATTACAGGCTTGAGCCACCGCGCCCGGCCGGTGCTTTCTTTACTCAAGTAGCACCTACGCTTTTTGGCCTGACTCCCAGTCTTTTCACGGGCTGTCAAGGTCTCCACCTCGCGTTCTAATCCCTCACTTCTCTGCAGTTTTGTAGACGACTAATAGTGTCCCAGCCATAGCATAGTCTTCATAGTCTTTTTCCCATTTACTTTTTTCTTTTTTTAGCCACGTGTTGTCGTGTTTACTTGCTACCTAGAATTCGAGGTTCCAACCTTTGCTGTACTGTCTGCGGAGCGTCTCAAAAATCATCCTGGCCCGGCCCACCTCGTGATTGTGATCTAACTGCTGGAACTAGGGCATTTTAAAAAGAAAAAAAAAAAAAAAAGCTCCCTGGATGATTTCAATTTGCAGACAGGGTTGAGAACCACTAAGCTAAGGTATCACCTCTTCCAGGAAGTGTTGTTGACTACCTCGTGCCCAGATGAGTTAGGGCACTATCTTCTGCGCCTTGTTAGTGGCCTGTACATACCGTTTTCTCGGCATTTTCGCATTGTACTATGCTTCTTTCATTTGCTTAATGACCAGAACAGCCATTTTCGGACCCCTCCTCCCCCATCTGAGGTAGCTAACATTTTAGCTTTACGGGATAGAATTGGCTCCAGAATTTTGTGGAGCTAAATTTCTGTGTTATAGGCAGTGCATACGATTCAGAGAAAATGAAGTAACCGGCTGTGAGAAAGATATCCCCAGCGAAAATGAGACGAAAAGAAAATGCATCAGCCTGGGTGGGGACACCTCTGTGTACGTTGCCTGTATTGAAAGAGGGAACTTGGTGTAAATAGACTTTCCAGCCTGTGGGTGCAGTAGTGATGCTTAAAGTGTGTACCAGCACCCTGCTCTTCAAAGAATTCTGTTGTTAGCGGAAAAGAAATTGGCCATCGAAGACCCTTCCCCCACACCCCCAAATGTATGGGATCCTGGCTCTGCTACTTACCAGCATTGTGACCCTAAACTAACTGCCTGACCCTTCTGGCTCTGTTTCGTTTTCTTTAAAATGAGAGCCGTGGTTGTACAGTACCTACCACAGAAGCTATTATGAAGATTCAATGAACTAATCCACATGAAGTCCACATTGTAATTGTTTGCTGTTCAGTATTATTAAGGCTTAACTGAGATAGGTGTTACCTCAATACACCTATTAATTATGCTTTTATTTATTTATTTATTTATTTATTTATTTGAGATGGAGTCTCACTCTGTCGCCAGGCTGGAGTGCAGTGGTGAAATCTTGGCTTATTGCAACTTCTGCCACCCAGGTTCAAGCGTTTTTCATGCCTCAGCCTCCTGAGTAACTGGGATTACAGGCGTGTGCCATCATACCTGGCTAATTTTTGTATTTTTAATAGAGATGGGGTTTCACCATGTTGGTCAGGCTGGTCTCCAACTCCTGACCTCATAATCCACCTGCCTTGGCCCCAATAATTATGCATATTTTAATAACCTAATGATGCAGAAGAAATGTGTGAAGAAGGCCGTGGTTTAGTGGATTTTTTATTTAACTGCCTTTTAGTAGTTTCAATTGTACCTTTTAAAATAAAAGAGAGGATACTAATTTCTTTTCTGCCCACACAGAGTTCTTCATGATAACTAGTTAAATAATTTCGACTCTTATGACTCTGACTCCTTTGTAGCACTTGATAAACTAATGTGTTAAAAAATCACTTTAACTCAGAGTCAGTGTGAAAAAGTTGTTAAAAATCAGAGTTGGTTTGTTGCATTTGGTGTTAAAAAATATATATAAATATAAATTAGCAGTATTGGGATTTGATTAACAGCGTGGAGGGCATTAGCATCTGGAGGCTCTGCCCTGGATGCCGTGGAAAACGGCTGTGCCATGTGTGAGAGAGAGCAGTGTGACGGCACTGTAGGCTTTGGAGGAAGTCCTGATGAACTTGGAGAAACCACACTAGATGCCATGATCATGGATGGGTAAGAATACCATTTAGGTCCTATTTATTTCTACATTTTCGCTTCATGTTGAGTTACATTTAGAGTTGTGGTCTTCTACTGAGAGCAAGATGGAAGAATGCATGAGTTTTGTCACAGGTCAAAACCCCTAGCTTATGGCCAGGTGTGGTAGTTCACGCCTATAATCCCAGCACTTTGGGAGGCTGAGGTGGGTGGATCATGAGGTCAAGAGATTGAGACTATCCTGGCCAACATGGTGAAACCCCATGTTTACTAAAAATACAAAAATTAGTTGGGCATGGTGACATGCACCTGTAATCTCAACTACTCAGGAGGCTTAGACACAAAAGTTGCTTGAACCCAGGAGACGGAGTTTGCAGTGAGGTGAGATCATGCCACTGTACTCCAGCCTGGTGACAGAGCAAGACTCCGTCCAAAAACAAAAAAAACAAAACAANAAAAAAAAAAAAAACCCTAACTTATTAAACTTGACCTTTCTTAACACAGTTTCCCTCTCAACTAAAAAAAAAAAAAATTATAGTAGTAGGAATATCACATGGAGAGATAGGTATTCTCCTTAGAACTGGGAGAATACCAAGCTACAAAACCATGTCTCCAACCTTATAAACAGTCATTTACTTGCTGTCCACAAATGCTGTGGTTTGCCTGACCTGAAGCCTTCAGGCCCCTTTCAAAAGCCATATTTAAAATTAGCTTGGAGAAACAGAATTTTCGTGCCATCTTGGTATATGGCAAATTGATTTTCTATTTTTTCTTTAATGTGGCCTGACTATGGGAATCTAGATGAACTTCATGGATGTGTTGTCACTTCTGTGTTAAAATGGCAGAGTTTAACTACAAAACACAATTGATTGGAGAAAAGCAATGTTTTTAGTCTATGAACTGCTGAAAACTCCTTAATTCTTAACTGCATTCTTTTTTCTTGTAGGACTACTATGGATGTAGGAGCAGTAGGAGATCTTAGACGAATTAAAAATGCTATTGGTGTGGCACGGAAAATACTGGAACATACAACACACACACTTTTAGTAGGAGAGTCAGGTATTTTTTAATTACACTGAAATTTTTTCTAGTCTTTCGACTATAGTTTTCACTGAAAAGTAGTATAAAAACAGACCTAAGTTCCAATTCCAGCTGTTTTACTTAACGTCTATTTAACTGGATAAGTTACTTCTGAATCTCTTTACTTCTTCATCTCTAAGAAGAAGGGAATGGAAGTTTTGCTCTGGCGGTGTGTGTTATTTGAACACCTTCCTAATTACAGACCAGAAACCTGTAGTCAAAATTTATTGTTAATGATGTATTATCTAACAACTCCAGTTGGCTTCCCTCAATTTTGTAGCATCTACAGAATTAGAAACTACTTGACAAGTAAAAGGATCTGTTACCCATTCATTGGAATTCAGTGGTTCCTCTGGTGTCTCAAAGTTTGTTTTATACCCGGGGCATTGCAGGTCTAGTTTCAGTGCAATTCTAAGACTCAGGATTGGTGAGAAGTGTGCCTTTTCTTTTGTGAAGTAGAAGGAAAATTGTGGAGCTGAGGTGGGAAGAGAACTGTCATAACACACAGCCCAAGGGTTTTAAGTAGATCAGTTTTAGGAAGAATGTAAGGAAATTGAAGGTCTAAAAATAGAGCTCCTTAAAATGTTCATGTATAAATACTCCTTTGAAAGTCTTTATGTTGGCCAAGAGCGGTGGCTTACCCCTGTAATCCCAGCCCTTGGGGAGGCTGAGGTGGGCAGATCACAAGGTCAGGCGATTGAGACTATCCTGGCTTACACAGTGAAACCCTATCTCTACTAAAAATACAAAAAATTAGCCAGGCATGGTGGCACACACCTGTAGTCGCAGCTACTCAGGAGGCTGAGACAGGAGAATCTCTTGAACCAGGAGACGGAGGATTCCCTGAGCCGAGATCACGCCACTCACTGCATTCTAGCCTCGGTGACAGAGCAAGACTGTCTCAAAAAAAGAAAAAAAAGAAAGAAAGAAAGTCTTTGTGCAGCTCACTTAAGATGCTGCTGACCCAGAATGCCTCTAGTACATCTATTTTTGTTGTAAAGACAATACTTGAATAACTTATACTTTCCTTTTTTTTTCAATCTCTAGCCACCAAATTTGCTGAAAGTATGGGGTTTATCAATGAAGATTTATCTACCAATGCTTCTCAAGCTCTTCATTCAAATTGGCTTGCTCGGAATTGTCAGCCAAATTACTGGAGGGTATGCATACCTATTTAATTTTTTTAAAAAACTGAAAATATTAAATGACATCCTTTCTGCTCACTGTTGCCCCCTGTTGTCTAGGGTGCTGGTTAGCCACCTGCCTGTACATTAGAGTCAGCGGTGTTAGTTGACTTTCTAGGCGTCAATGTTCCTGAAACCTCCCTAGCTGCATCGGATGCATATCCAGCATGGAGAGCTACTGGTGTCTCACAATAGTTTTCAAACTGAAGTTTCTTCCATGTGGTGGGGCTGCCTCAATCAGGGCTGCCCTGCTTGATTTTCCTTGTAACTAAGTCTAAAAAATCGGTTTGGAAATTATTCGTCTAAAATATTTCTTACGTTTTATCTATGTGCCGTATATCCAGTATCTTGTTCTTATTTGACTTGAGGACTTATAATATTAGGTTTCTAGCATGTTACCAGTGGAATAATTTGTGTTTAATGGGACTTTTAGCATAAATCAGTTTGCCTTTGCCATGCAGGGTCCTTCTGTGAGATATCTTAGTCTCTCATCTATTTCTTCTCTAATCCTAATTACTTCCGAGTAGCTAACAAGTCAGAAGTCCCTTGGGTTAGCACTTGAAAGAGGCTAATCATAAAATGAAGTTAGGGGAGGCCCTTAGTGCCCTGATGTGTAAGACATGAGGAACAGGAACAGGTTTCTTGTTTTAATACCACTCGACATATACAACCTAAATTTATGAGTTTGGATTATATTCTTGAGCCTTTAAGATTTATAAAGGAATCTTAAAGCACAACTTAGAATATATTCACATAAACCTAGCTTTGAAAAAACAATAAAAGTTTTTCAAACGTATTTTACTTTAAATCTCAGAATTCTTTGGCCAAGGAACAAATTTCTGAAATTTAAAGGCCAAGTGTGTATCTAATTTCTTTAAGGATTAATATCTAATTTAAAAAACTTTATTTATATCTACTATTGTGTTGAGAATTTTAGGTATATAAAGAGAAAAATTAGGGACCTGTTTCCTGCCATATAGATATCTCACCTATAGTATTTAATTCTTAGACTAGAATGGGTATTTAGTAAAATTATATAACTATTTGTTTTTACATAAAACTTGGTGATTTCTTAGCTTTTAATTCTTAAGTTCCCAGATGTCTTTTTTTGGTTTCTTGCTAGTGTTGACTATACATAATTACTTGGCAATTTCTAAAAATACCCTTTGTAAAAAAGAAAACTTAAATCTTGTTTACAGAATGTTATACCAGATGCCTCAAAATACTGTGGACCCTACAAACCACCTGGCATCCTAAAACAGGATATTCCTGTCTATAAAGAAACAGAAGATGATCGTGGTCATGATACTATTGGTAATTTGCCTTTTGTGCAGTTTTTATGGATAAAGTTTAATTATCTTTCTGTAGCTCTTCCCTATTCTACCAAAGTTGATTTCAATTGTTTTAACTGCCAATTAAGTATGCCCCTCTCTCTGTAGATAGATCAGTCTTGTCTTAGCATCTGTATAAAATCTGGTAAGTTATTTATACAAAACACCTAAAACTTAATGACTATTCAGTTGTGGATTTTTAAATCTTTGATATTTCATTTTTTGGCAATTTTATGTTGTGGTATTTTAGTGACCTTAAATAACTTTTTCCAAGTTATAATGGTGAAAACTTAACATTAGTCTATGTCTTAGTTGGTTTTTCACTGCTATAACAGACTATCACAGACTGGATAATTTATGAAGAAAAATTTATTTGGCTCACAGTTCTAAAGGCTGGGAAGTTCAAGAATAGGGTGCTGGCGTCTGGCAAGGGCCATCCCAAGGTGGAAGGCAAGAGACTGAGACAGGAAATCCAGTAGAACTCATCCTTTGTATCAGGAACCCACTACCTGTGGTAGTGGCATTGAACCTTTTTAGCCTAATCATCTCTTAAAGTACGCACCTGTTAATAATAATTAATAATGTTAATTTCCTGTTACAGTGGCAATTAACATTACTTTCTTATTCAGTTCATGCTGCTATAGCAAAATACCCAGACTGGATGGCTTATAAGCAACAGAAATTTATTTCTCACAGTTGTAGAGGCCGGGAAGTTCAAAATCAAGGTGCTGGCAGGTTCAGAGTTTGGAGAGGGCTTGTTTCCTGGCTCATGGATGATGTCTTTTTGCCGTGTCCTCACATGGGGGGAAGGGGTGAGGAAGCTCTCTGGGGCCGCTTTTATAAAGGCATGAATTCCATTCATGGGGGCTCTGTCCTCATCACCTAATCAGCTCCCCAGGGCCTTGCCTCTTGATACCATCACCTTGTGGTTGATGTGAATTTGGGGGAACACAAACATTCAGACCATAGCAGTTACAAGCTGCTTAATTACTTGCTTATATTTGAGGTAAACTTTATACACCCACAGTGATTTTTTTTTTCCACTTCTAGGCATTGTTGTAATCCATAAGACAGGACGTATTGCTGCTGGTACATCTACAAATGGTATAAAATTCAAAATACCTGGGTTAGTGTTTCCAAAAGAACAAAGCTCTCAAATATGCATTGAATGCAGAGCGATATATGCCAGGTGCTATGGGGGTTGCAAAGCACAGGCCTGGTCTTGAAGCTGCGATGAATGAGCGTGAAAGAAAATGCAGTACTCTCTGCTGAGTGCCACAGGAGAGGGAGTCACAGCCAGTGCTGTAGGGTTCAGGGGTAGCAGAGGTAATCTCTTTAAGCTGGGGTAGTTAGGAACACCAGTGAACTGATGCTTGGAGTCCGAGGTAGCTCAGGTTCAGGGCTCCTACTGGCTAGGAAAGGTGTATGTGTGTTTCCGGCTCCCACTGCGCTGTGTGTGTGTGTGCGTGTGCGTGTGTGTTCAGAACTCCCACTGACTTGGAAAGAAGGGGTGTGTGTATGTGTGTGTGTATACTCAAGGCTCCCACTGGCATGTGTGTGTGTGTCAGTGTGTTGAGGACTCCCACTGGCCGGGAAAAATGTGTATGTGTGTGTATGTATGCACGGCTCCCATTATGTGTATGTGTGTGCACACTCAGAACTCCCACTGGGGGATGTGTGTATGTGTGTGTGTGCATGCATGTGCATGCTCAGGGCTCTGACTGGTGTGTGTGTGTATGTGTGTGTTGACGGCTCCCATTGTGTGTGTATGTGCGTGCACACTCAGGACTCCCACTGGGGGGTGTGTGTGTGCCCGTGCATGCTCAGGGCTCTGACTGTTGTGTATTTGTGTGTGTGTATTTGTATGTGTGTTCAGGGCTCCTACTGGCTAGGAAAAACAGGGTGTGTGGGGGTGTGTATGTCTGTTTTTGTTGGGGTTGCATAAGTGGTATTGAAAGGTAAGGGAAGATGGGAGCTAGATTCAAGGTGTCATAAGTCAGTTTAAAGCATTCTGGATTTAATTTTGAAATAGAAAAGCATTAAAACTTTTTTACTGGAAAAAAAATCTGGTAAAAGTTTGGCACATTACATAGGAAGCAGAAATAGATTATAGATAAGGGAAATCAATTTTGAACATGTTGCAGTAATCTGAAAATTAGATGATAAAGGGTGGTAATAGTCACTGTAAATCTGTGCCATCCTGGTATATACCTGGCTGATAACAAGTTCTTTTTAAAAATTAGTTAATTTTAATGACAATGGAAATTATGTGTATTTGCTGTGTACAGCATGATGTTTTGATGGCTAAATCAAACTGTTTAACATATTATGCTAAATATGGCTAAATCAAACTATTTAACATGGTATCTCACATGCCTATTTTATTATGGTGAGAACACTTAAAATCTATCTACTTAGCAGTTTTGGCCGAGCACAGTGGCTCATGCACTTTGGAAGGCTGAGGCAGGCAGATCACCTGAGGTCACCAGGCTGGCCAATAGGGTGAAACCCTGTCTCTACTAAAAAAACAAAATACAAAAATGTAGCCAGTTTTGGTGGCACCTGTCTGCAGTCCTAGCTATTCAGCAGGCTGAGGCAGAAAGACCCACTTGAACCCAGGAGGCAGAGTTGGAATGAGCTGAGATCACGCCATTGTACTCCAGGCTGGGTGACAGAGTGAGACTGCATTGCGCAAAAAAAAAAAAAAAATCTACTTAGCAGTTTTCAAATGTGCACTCTATTGTTAATCAGCCTTAGTCAACATGATCTGCAGTAGGCCTCTGGAACGCACCTTCCTGCCTAACTGGAATCACGTGTTTTTTGACCCACATCTCGCCAGGTCCCCCTCCCCCAGCCTCCGGTAAACCCCATTTTAGTCCCTGTTTCTATGAGACTATGTTTCTGTGAAACTATGTTTCTGTGTTTCTGTGGATCTCGGCTCACTGCAACCTCTGCCTCCCAGGTCCCTGTTCAAGCAGTTCTCCTGCCTCAGCCTCCCAAGTAGCTGGGACTACAGGCATGCGCCATCATGCCCAGCTAATTTTTGTAATTTTAGTAGAGACAGGGTTTCACCATGTTGGTCAGGCTGGTCTTGAACTCCTGACCTCGTGATCCACCTGCCTTGGCTTCCCAAAGTGTTGGGATTACAGGCATGTGCAACTGCGCCAGGCTAAATTCTTATATAATTAATGTAGGTTTGTGAAAAGCTAATTTGAAAAACTAATGAAAATCTGTTCTCTCTTTGTTCTGATGAAAAATTTACTTAAAACAGTATCAGAGGCTAAGTAGAAATATCCCTCGTTTGGAACAGCTCATGACTTAATGTGTTTTCCACTCGATTTCCTACCCCACGTTGTTAATACCCTCTCAAAGCCGTGTAGGAGACTCACCAATACCTGGAGCTGGGGCCTATGCTGACGATACTGCGGGGGCAGCTGCAGCCACTGGGGATGGTGATATATTGATGCGCTTCCTACCAAGGTATGACTTCATAGTTTGTGAATTTTAGAGACTTTTGGAGAAGATATTTTTTCTTTTAAGATAGAAAATAATTTTTGAGGCCAGATGCCATGGCTCATGCCTGTAATCCCAGCACTTTGGGAGGCTAAGGCGGGTGGATCACCTGAGATCAGGAGTTCGAGACCAGCCTGACCAACGTGACCATTTCTACTAAAAATACAAAAAAAAATTAGCTGGGTGTGGTGGCACAAGTCTGAGGTCCCAGCTACTCAGGAGGCTGAGGCAGGAGAATTGCTTGAACCTGGGAGACAGAGGTTGCAGTGAACTAAGATCACGCCACTGCACTCCAGAGTAAGACAAGAATGAGACTCTGTCTCAAAAAAACAAAAAGAAAAGCATTTTTATATTGTGTAATCTAAATTTTTGTGCACAAGAGCTTTTTAGAAACTGCATAAACACTTTTTGCCTATATTTTGATAATGATAATCATTCAAGTTAAGTAATCAGAGTCTTGTGAAAATAAAATATATTGCTCACCCTGCTTCCCTGCTTCCCAGGTGAGAATACCTAATGATCTATTTAGATAATTGATGTAAAGCTATGGAGTAAAGGAGCTGTGGTAATTGATGGTAAAAGGAGGATGTTCCATCATCCTAACTGGATGTTGTGCCCATGCACACAGTACTTTCCCCTTTGATTGTAGCTGCATTTCTCATTGAAAACCTGTTATTCTTGGCCTGGGCGTAGTGGCTTGTGCTTGTAATCCCAGCACTTTGGGAGGCCGACGTGGGTAGATCACCTGAAGGTCAGGAGTTTGCAAACAGCCTGGCCAACATATTGAAACCCCATCTCTAAAAAAATAATAATAAAATAACGAAAGAAAAAAAAGAAAACCTGTATTCTTTTTGACTTCTGGCCATTACTACTGACAGTTACTCAGCCAAAGCCAAAAATAATATTCCATATCTGAAATTAATGGGTGGATTAGTTGAAAAGATGGACACTGTATCAAGGTTGACTCACTTTGTGGATGCTTTAACAGAAGTAACTACTGTTCATTTATGTGTATTCTATCTAATGTGGCAATTTTGGTGCTTTTAATTTCTAACTTCAAGTAACCCAATTTGGAGTAGTATTTATTCTGTGACACTAAGGTTTCACCTCTGTTTCAATCAGCTACCAAGCTGTAGAATACATGAGAGGAGGAGAAGATCCAGCTATAGCTTGCCAAAAAGTGATTTCCAGAATCCAGAAGTATTTTCCAGAATTCTTTGGGGCTGTTATATGTGCCAATATGACTGGAAGTTATGGTAAGTTGTGTTTGGATTTTGTATTTGTGTGAACTTCCAAATATTTATAAAACATACACTTTTTAAATATTGTAATATACAGTACACTATATTCAATAGAAAAGGAGACTCCTTAAGCAGGCACTGAGTGTTAATGGATGATCTGTCAAGACCCACAGTGTTAAAAGTATATATACCTAAAATCCTCTTTTGGTTGACCGCTGGTAGTTAAGAGCCAGGCGTTGACTAGTAGTTCTTATCTTTCACATGTGTCTTAAATGAAATTTAGTTTCAGCTCCAGTACATGTTGAGATGGGCTAATCTAGTCAAATGTTTATATTAATTAGAAATAGACAAGGATAGCCGGGCACGGTGGCTCAAGCCTGTAATCCCAGCACTTTGGGAGGCCGAGGCGGGTGGATCACGAGGTCAAGAGATCGAGACCATCCTGGTCAACACGGTGAA